CACAACTACTATTATTTTGAATTTGATTCCGCGCTACAGCTGAAGCAAACATACAGAAGATCAAGAGAATTGACAAAGAATTTAATGATAACATACTCAAATCTCTTACTATAATAATAATAATAATATTCAAAACTAATAATGTAATGAAAGAAGCAGATACATTCAAAATTTATTAGATAATCTGTCATTTTGTGCATATTTTCTCTATTTAGCTCTTTTTCTACACCTTCTAAGATGCTGCTTGACTTAGAATTTTCAACTTCGACGACTTGAGGGAGAAACTTTGGTATAATTGAGGTTTTTGGCCGATTTACGTGCACCTTGACTGTTTTACTATTTCTTTCGTCTACTTTTATTTGTCGGATTGCATTTTTCGAAAGTTAATCTAATTAATTTTTTAAGTTAAATTTACACTAATTATATATTTTTAACAAAAAATTTAAATATTTAAAAAGTATACGAAAATATTATAAGTTGCAAATTTTTGGATATCAATATGATGAAGAAATTCACTGTACAATATTCATTAAAGTTTTTATAATTTAACTCTAAAAAAGGAAGCTATAATAATTAAAAGTGGACTGAATGGTAATAAATTTCATGAAAGATCACGTCACTATTTCACTACTGAAGAAGTTTAAACGTTCATAAATGATAACAAAATTCAAGAGTAATGCTATAACTAGTAGTACAACTAATAATAAAGAAGAATAAGTCAAACATCACTCAACTATCTAAACGTCTTACCCTAAATCATGTTCTCTATAGCCTCTTGTCTATGAAAGGATAAATTTGATCCTTTCACATCGTTCAAAGATTAAAATTTGAGTTTTTAAATTTTTGTGTTTTTTCATTCAAGAACATATCGAAAACCGTCTCTCTATCTCTCTTCTACCTTATAAAGTAGAAATAAGATCTACATACTTTCTACTCTCTTGTAGCCCACTTTTATGTAGAAATAATTCACAAACTACAGAAAATAAGCTAAAATTAGCTTATTTCATATATATTTAAGTAACATTCTACTCTCTTCATAACCCCTTTTTAGATACAAATAATTCACGAACTATAGGAAATAAGCTCAAGTTAGCTATTTTATATATTCATTTTGAGAAACATTTTCTATCATAGATTTTTTCATATTCTGAATTCGATATCATATCTATAACCAAAAAGGAAGGGTGGTAGCATAACACCTCGCACCTATCAAGGGGTAATGAGTTTAAGGATTACTTCCCTGGACGAGGAATTAGCTATCACAAAAGAAGAGCTGAAAATCGCTTGATCATCGCAAGGAGAGGAGGTCATGGACACTTGATTGTGATGGCACGACTAATCAAAATGGGTACAAAGTAGGGGGCATTGCTCTTTGCACTTGATGAATCTTATTTAAAAGCATTTTCTGAAGTTTTTCCTTATCCGAACGAGTCCATCAAAAGACATGAATGATGAAAAAGAGGCCTCAACTAGCTTCTTGGGAAGTCCGTACCCACCGCTTTTGCTATTATTAAAGCTTTTAAGGAAAAAACTTCTCTTAAAAGCTCGGAGATCTTTAGTTTTGAGACTATTTTTTTCATACATTGGAGCAGCTTATCCAATACACCACATTCGTGATATATTTGTTCAAAATTAACCTTTATATATTTGTATAAAATTCAATTTCTTTCCCAAAATACCCTTTTGCTAATTGACTTTTCGAATTTAGAAGCAAATAAAAAATGTGTCTTTTAAGCTTTAGCGCTCTCCTTCTCTCTCTCACACACACACAGAGTCCCTTTTGACATCCTGTAAATTTCCTCAAAACCCTAATTTTCTCCCTTTTCCAACATCAATAATCAATTCATAATCCTTTTGTTAGATCTCTTGGTCCAATTTCCAGCTAATTTTTCCATTTTTTGTTAGCTGTAATCCCAAGAAGATGAAAAGTCGATCCAATTCTTTGAATTCCGTGAAAAATCTGCATAATTCCCCTCAATTTGTTCTCAAACTTTGATGGGTTTTGTGACTTTTCACAAAAAGACTGTTTTTTTTTTATTGTTTTGTGTCTGTATAAGTTTCCTCTGCCTGTCTATTTGCAGACAAGAAAGCTATTTGGATGATACACAGCAAGTAGTTTGGAAAAAAAAAAGAGAAGGTTCTAGAATTAGGGGAGGAAGAAATTGTGCTTATGGCTGGTTCGAAAATGGAGGGGTCATCAGCTCCAGCTGTAAGGAGAGACCCATATGAGGTATTGTCTGTAGCAAGGGATTCATCTGATCAAGAGATTAAAAGTGCTTATAGAAAGCTCGCACTCAAGTAAGTCATCCTCATGTTACTCGAAAGAGTTTTGCTTTATGGTTAATGTGGTTGGTTTAATTGAGGTTCATCTGTTTGGACAAATTATTTGGTGATGGAATGTTACAGACTCAAAATTGAGCTGTGAATTGGTCTTGAATGGATTGGAATGAGTACGTAGGGGATTTAGATTAGTTTTGGAGGGAGGCTTAGTTGATTGATTGATTGAAGTTATATTATTGCTCTCGTAGTGTTTCATGTATGTACTTAAGTGTGGTTACTTATGAGGTGTAGTTGATTGCGTAGTTGAGTTATTGTTGAGAGAATTGTGCATTATGTTCTTATATGTGGCGTATATAAATTGAAATGTGGCGTATTGCTTTGCTATGTATTTAGTTAGACATATCAAGCATTTTGAGGATACGGTTAGCTTTATTATGGAACTCATTATTAGCTATTCAAGAATTGAAGCTAGTAATTTGAAGGTTGAGGTGGTGTGAAGGAAATTTCTTGATTTGATTGTCTCTTATACATTAGTTACTTTATAAGGAAAAATATCTTATCAATAGCCATACACAATCTAAATTATTGGCAGGTATCATCCCGACAAGAATGCTAACAATCCTGAAGCTTCAGAACTCTTCAAAGAGGTTGCATATTCCTATGGTGTTCTATCTGATCCTGAAAAAAGGAGGCAATATGATATGGCAGGTTTTGAGGTACTTTGTCCACATACATTGTCAATTACATAATTTTCATGCAATGTGTTACTACTAGATTAATGACTTTAAGTAAATGCCTTTTAATTATGTTTTGAGCTACTGTATTTATGGATTTTTTTAACTGTCTCAAACAAAAATAAAAATGGGTATCTGTTGTTCTATGTTTGACAGAAAACCTTGTGGGCCATTCAAGAAATCAAATATCATAAACACTAAATGTCCATTGTATCAAAATCATTTAATGAGAAGTCAAAATTACTAAGTTGCTTCCCTACATGCATTTCACGTATATTGCAACTACTTTAGAATTTTGGACCACATATTCTATTTTTTTTGTTTATACTACATACCTTGCAATAGGAAATATGTTTGAACGTGATTCTATATAGCATTGTCCTATTGGGATTTAAATGTAGCTGCCGTAGTTGTATGTTATGGAATTAGATTAGGAGTCTTTGAGTTGTATCATGTATGGATTAGGAATCTTAAATGACCTATACGCTCCCATGATCCATGAGAAGTAGCTAAAGAACAAAATACAATTGAAGAAAAAAGTACAACTAATTAATCTTTTATCTTGTCAAAAACAAATCCTCTAATTGAATTAAGGCTTAGTCATTGTTAGTCTGTCACATTAAGTCTGGCGTTTGTCAGAAACTTTAGTTTGGTTAGAGATTTGTATGCCAGTATAGAGATAAGTTTGAGATTTAGAGAACTTTTAGTATTAGAGAGCTCTTAGTTTAGTTAACCCCAATAACTTTGGGATTGAGGTATAGTTATTGTATCATATTTTTTCATATAAAAGAAGTGGAGCAAATGTTTGGTCTTGACTTTTTGGAGCTGAACAAATCTTCTTTTTGTTCTGTCTGTTGGTGTGGATGGGTTGGGGGGCTATCGGAAAACTCAGTGGAAGAATTTGAGAAGGTCAAAGATGGACTCAAGCTAATAAGTTTGATGACATGGGTTATCTGCCATAATGAAATATTACAGTAGCTGGATTCTTGTGTTGGTGTTCTTTTTGCAATGACTTCTTCATGTATGCATGGATTTTAGAAGGTGGTTGCTCACGCACTGAGACGCGTATACATATACTCTCTCTAGTGGTACATGGATAGTTTCTTTTTTATGCGTTTTTCAACTTTATCCAAATTGTCGGTATCTAATGTAATCAGGTATGATGGGCATGGTTTATTTATTAGACAGACTCCCAATTGACTAATACTTGTGGCAGCTTTTAACTGATTATAGTTCCTAGATAACTGCTCACGAGCATGTACTATTAGTCTTTCTCTGACATTTGATCTTGAAAATTCTAAGGCTATTGATGCTGAAGGAACCGATATGGAAATTGATTTGTCTAATCTTGGAACTGTCAACACAATGTTTGCAGCATTGTTCAGGTAATCATCATACTAAACTTTGTTTTTCGAGTAGATTATGGTGTTTGAATTTCCTTATCTCTCTTATAGCAAGTTGGGTGTTCCCATCAAAACGACTGTGTCTGCTAATGTTCTTGAAGAAGCTTTGAATGGAACTGTCACAATCCGCCCTCTTCCAATCGGGACGTCTCTTAGTGGAAAGGTAGCATTTGATTTACTCTTTCAATTAGCAGGATAAACCACATCAGCTGTATTAAGGTTTTAGCTTGGTTTTGCTGCAGGTTGAAAAGCAAAGTGCCCATTTTTTCGGTGTAACGATTAGCAATGAACAAGCGGAGGCAGGGCTTGTAGTTAGAGTTACTTCAGCAGCTCAAAGCAAGTTTAAGGTACACTCACGATCAATAGAATTTTTATGGTAGTTATTCGTCCTACTTTTATACTTCGTAAGCAGTGCCGATATATCTCATGTTTTTTTGTGTTTTCTACCTTTCCATGACTTGAAATGTTAAAACTAAATTTTTATATAATTTCAGCTACTGTATTTTGAACAAGATGCAAATGGAGGTTATGGCCTGGCTTTGCAGGTACTGCGTTTTACAGTTTTTGGTTCCATTATGAATTCAAGATATTTTTAATTGATGTAGAGTTCTTAGTGATTTGAGGTGGCCAGGTAGTTGTTGATTCATGAAGCTTCTAATAAAAGCATTTATTTTGGAAATAAAACCAAATTAAGAAATGTGTACTCTTCATTCCATTCTATTTTGGGAGACATTTCGAGCATGTACAGACACAACTTTCTCTCGGATTGTTGCTGGATTAGTAACCTATGTGTTGAGGAAAGATGTTACAAATTCTCAAGAAAAAAAAAGAATGAATTAGAAAATAACTCTCCTAAAATTCTAATGAAGTAATGTTCTTGAATTGCAACTTTAACTCCTGTTTTGTTAAGCGCTTATCTTGATGTATCTCTATGGATTTAATGAGTTTTTCCTGGGATTTTAAAGCTTAGTCTTGAGATTTTTTTTTTTGTTTTAAATTAAAGCTTAGTCTTGGTTTGCAATTTTTTTTTTGTGACCAACCTAACAGCTAACAACTACTACTACGCCCTATTTGTTTGTACTTATTAGGGGTTTGAATTTTAATGGTTTAGATTTCAGTCCATTAAGTTGTTTTTTGTTTTGTGTTTTAAAATATCTTAAATGGATTTAAATAGGTCTGCATGAATCAGATTTGTAATCAACTCTAACACCATGAAGATCTTAAATTTCACTTTTGTCTTAGCAAAAGTCATGCCCATATTTCTATATGCGAAGAACTTCACTTCTTGACGAAATAAAAAAAAACCTTCATGTCTCTTGCATTTGCCGGAATCTTCTGAGGAACTGGCAACGCCAATTCTTGCTCTGGAAGCTATTTCTGGTGAAGTTGGCCACCAATGGAAATGTTCAATTGTTTGTTGTGGTTGAATTCAAAACTATAGAACCAATCAAAGAGGGAAAAAGTTGTTGGGTCATCAGGTGTACTGAGAAAGTATGGGAGAAAGCATCAGGGTGTTTCTGAAATGGGTTGGAGCTCCACTCTGTCATGGTTAAGTGGGATTAGGCATTTTCTGTCATAAAGGAGTCCTAGAAATGGTGAGGTTGGTTAGGTAGTAGGGACGCTGGGAGGGAGTGAACAGGAGGGCTTTTCACTTTAAAGGAAGGATGAACTTAAGTTGTTTGGTTGGGTGGATTTGAGGAAGAGATGCAGGGTATTTAGGATTAGTGGTGGAAGGGGAGTGGTTGGGTGATAACATGAAGATGAGAGATTTTGGAGAGATTTGTATTCTTTTAACATTTTAGGTTCTATAAACTGTAGTTCAAATTAGCATATTTTGAGAATTAAATTAATAAATTATATATATATATAGTCATTCAGTATTCAGTTTGGAGATAACATCTTAATATTTAGATGTGTATCCACTATCCGTATTCAGACAACATCTTAGTGTGTATCCAGATTCAGATATTTGAATCTTAGTAATAACAAATGACCCCTAAATCTCAATCAAACAAGTAGGGTTTGCTATATTGCTATGCGAATTCTTTCTGACCATATTTCTCAATTTAAATTCATCTCAGACCAATATATACGGAAAAAATAAATAAATGAAGCATGAACAAAGTTTATTTGATTATCTAAGTTTCTAGCCATATGGCTCATGAGTCATCCTTATTTGCGGGCGTAGAAAGTTATGGTCAGGAGCCAGTGTAGTAGATGAGGCTGTATGTTTGTAAGATCTCAGTTCACTAAAGTATTGAATTGACAGTATGAATCAACTGCTTTGGAAAACTAGACGTCATTCTTGATGTTCTCTGATTTTGAAGCTCTTCATGGTCTGCAATCTGCATCAGCTGTGAGGCTTATATATTCGAGTGAACTCACTTGTACAGAGCAGATACTGGACTTCTTATTCTCTATCTTCAGATATATAAGCTCAACATGCTCGTACTACATTAAATTTGCCTGCAAACTGTGTTTCTTTTTGTTACAGTTATCTTTCGAGTATTTCTTTTTGACTGTTAGTTCTGAACACACTTTGATTTGTGAGCAAGTGTATTGTATTTTAAATGAACCTGTTGTGCATGTCTAGTTTATTCTAACCAGGTGATTGACTGATCAAAATTTTCTTAATAGAAGTGTATTGTATTTTAAAGGGACATGTTATGCATGTCTAGTTTATTCTAACCAGGTAATTGACTTGATCAAAATCTTCTTAATGAACCTGATGAATTGTCATTGTATACACTATACAGGAAGATAGTGAAAAAACAGGTAAAGTAACGTCAGCAGGAATGTATTTCCTGCATTTTCAGGTGTACAGAATGGATTCAACTGTAAATGCGGTATGTGAATATCAACCAATTGGTCAAGTTCATTAATGCAGTGTTGTCGGAATTAATAAATTATTTGAAATATTGTAGTTAGCAATGGCTAAGGACCCTGAAGCTGCTTTCTTTAAGAAACTGGATGGCCTTCAACCTTGTGAGGTCTCAGAACTAAAAGCTGGCACTCACATATTCGCTGTTTATGGTTGGAGCTACTTATATTGCTGAATACTTGTTTTTTGTTGCTGCAGAAAACCTTCTAATTCCCGATTGATAGTCCAATACTAAATCCTCAAGGATGAATTTTGATCTGAATTTTGCAGGAGATAATTTCTTTAAGCCAGCTACTTATATTATTGAGGCTCTTTGTGCCAAGTCATATGAGGATACTACTGTTAAGCTCAAGGAAATCGAGGCTCAGATTTTGAGGAAGAGAAATGAGCTTCGGCAGTTTGAAATCGAATATAGAAAGGTTTGCTTCTGGACAATATTTATCATCGGTAATAGATTGTTTCAGATGTGCTCATTGTACTCTTCCATGTGATGTTAACAGGCATTGGCACACTTCCAGGAAGTAACCAACAGATACAGCCAAGAGAAGCTGTCTGTATGTTTCTGCTGCTAGTCTCATGGTCTAAATATCATTTTCATAAATGTGCTCGTATTGAGATGTTAATTCCCTCGAAGTCCTTCAAGTTTATTTCTCATGAAAAAATTAGTGACTCGGGAATAGTTAATTAGAATTTAGAGCCATCATTAATGCATCTCTTGATTGCTTAGGCGCTACTTTGCTTTGTTCCTTCTATTACGTGATTGTTCCTTTGCACTGATTAAATACTGCTGTTCGTAAAGGTCGATGAGATGCTGAAACAAAGAGACAGTATACACTCTTCATTCACAGTTTCAAGGTCAATTGCTAATCTAAGCGGCAGTGGAAGCGGGCATTTCAGTAATGGAAGTAGCAGTAAAGTCCCTGGCGAAGATTATAAAACCGATAGTCCAGGGGAAGATGGAAGCTCAGACTCCAAAGACAAGTCATCAAAGAAAAGATGGTTCAACCTTAACCTTAAAGGATCAGATAAAAAGAACTGAAAAGTCGACGATCATCTAAGTTCTATACTTGATCCCAAATCTTAAAGAGTTCTTGCATTGCTATCAAACGCCAAGGGGGCAGGTATTGCGCTGCCGGAACAAGTCCCTTCATATATTCTTTGTTCTATTTGTTAGTTTGTGCTTTTCCCAGATTCATTTTGTCTTTAGGGAAGTGATGTTTGGAATATATATATATATATATATAGATGGTGTTTTTGGTGTTTGTATGCATGATTCTTGTGATGTACCATGAACTTGGCTGATCTTCAGCTGTCAATCCATATAAGATTATAGAATTCAGAAGGTGTTGTAATTTTAGTCTATGTACATTTTCTTTTTTTGGTTGGCATTGGGAAGTTGTAATATTTCAATGGTGATTCTTACAAAAAGAAAAAATCAACTTTTTGTGAATTTTTATGCCTCTGTTTTTTATATTTCGAGTGTGTACAATATGAACTTTTATGTCTCTATTTTTAGTGTTGCATACAAATATACAAAAGATCATAAACATGATATTAACTATGAAAGATCACAGAGGTGTGGAAGATCATGGAATAGATCATAAACATGATATATATCAGACAGTTATATTTTTTTCAATTTTATTCTCAGTACTAAATACACTTCTTTCAAATTATTTTTAAGATTTGATACTAAATATCATTTAATAGAAATAGTTTGGTAATATATCTATATCAATAATTTATTTTCCTATTAGATGTGTCAAATTAAAATACGACAAATAAAAATAAATAGTCATATTCTAATTTTAATTAATATACAAAATAACTCTTGTTCTAGTAATCAAACGAATCATTTTCTACATTATTCTACAATAATGTTCTATGGTTATTTCAAATATTTGTATGCAAACTATAAAATGAGAAAGTAATCCATTTCAATTTACATATTTTGATACAACAAGCTCACAAAATTATTAAACAACAAAAACATTACAGATATAAATATAAATAAATAAACAACAATATCTCCACAGCCATTAAAACCAATGTGGAGCACAATAAATCAAATATAAATAATATCATCACAATCCTACCCACACCCAAAACACCAAAAATAAAATTTCTTTTAAAAAAAATTATAAAACCATCAAAAAAGATAAACATAATTAAAAAAAATTTTAAAAACGAAAAGCTCATTGTGAGCTAGCGAGCTAAAGGTTCAACAGAATTTAATAGCTTTATGTTTTGTTAAAAAATCCATTTAGAAATCTAATAACCATTTTTCCTAAAGTTCGTAAACTTAAAATTCTAATTCCGCGTCGAGCTCTCATCAATTCTCAACCATTGCATTAAACTTCTCCAAAAATGATTCTTGTCTTTGCAATTTAATTTCTTGATAAAACCTTTCAATAAACTTCTCAGCTCTCTCATCAACCGAATCATCATCATCGTTGTCGTCGCCATCATCGCCATGAAAATCTGCAAATTCTTCCATGGAACCTAATCTCTCCAACTCCAACACTGGGTACCTTCTCTTTTTCTCATCTCCTTCGCATTTCGCCATTCCCAAACATCTCGAAATAAAGAAAACAGAGCATATATCTCTGTAACTCCTCTGTTTTCTGAATGATTTTTTTCTATTATAGAAATGAATCAATGATGTATTCGAAGGAGAAAACTGGTATTCTTGAATATACCCATAACTATAATGCTTCAGAATACTAAATTTCTTCACTTTTTTCAGAGGTTTTCTCATTTTTGCTAAGAAAATTGACATGTTTAGTAGATTTGTAACTTTCTGAAAAACAGGGGAAATTTTTTTGGGCATTTTTTATATAAGTTCAAAATGTGAGAGAAACTTGAGATGAAATCTCACTCAAGTGACTCTCAATTTTGAATTTTTGAAGAATGTTTCAAGTTCTGCAAATTTATTTGTAGTTTTTTTTTTTTGGGTACTGTGTAGAGCAATTTATTGGTGGAAAAAAAGTGTTTTTTGTAGATAGCAAAAATGGTCCTTTATGTTTGAGGTTTGGTTTAAAAATAGTCCCTTTAATTTTAGTCCTTTTATGTATTACTTTCTCCCGTCGAGATAGTTTGATTCGACGCGAAGTTTAAGAAATAAATGAAAACTTTTAAAAGTTGTGATTCAAAATGAATATTTGTACGACAGTAAATTATTCAGTAAGAATATATAGTTAAATTGTTACTTAATATAAAAATGTGTCATTTTTTGTGAGATTGACTAAAAAGAAAAGTAAGTCATATAAATTGAGACGAGAAGTAATGTTTTAACTTTGTTACTAATATATTGAACTCTGTTACGGTTAGATTTGACAGAAATTAGCAAGAAGTTATATTTAGAGATACAATTTTTTGTTGTTTTAGTACTATTTTTTAAAACTGATTTTTTAGAGTTTGGTGTGTAAGTTTTTAAGGTATAATATAATTTATGTTATTTATTATTTATTGTTTGATGTAGTCTTTTGTATTGTATATTTCAGTATTATGTTGATCAATCGATAGGATGGACCAATATTTACTTTTCACGTTTGAGAAATATGATTAATCTTTTACTTTTCACATTTTCAAATCATAATCATTTACTTTTCTCATTTCGTAAAGAGTTAAAAGGGCATTACCCTTAAAAATAAAGGACTAATTTTGTAAAGTTCTTTTTTTATTTTTTGAAGAATGTGAAAATATGAGGAAGGCTAGGCTGGAAAAAGGTTTATGGTCGGTGTCAATTTGGATTTTATTATAGTGAAGTAGCCGTTAAAGAGCGGTTCTCTCTTAGTTTCAAATCTGGTGTCATTTTATACGATATCGTTTAATTTGATACGTTATTTAATAAAAAAATTAAAATTTTATAACCGAAAGGATCAAAATATTTATATAGTGAAAATTATCTTACTAAGAGTAAACCGGTATTTTTAAAGTTAAATTATTCAAAGTCTAGTAATATGATAATCTCTTTGAAACAGACCAAAAAATAAAAATGTCACATAAAAGAAGTATAAAGTTCAACAAAAATTTCTATTTCTTAGTCTGATATTTTGATCTTCAAATTTTGATTAATATGAGTTGTAAGTGAGAATAATAGATTTTATTTGTCTTTAGTCAGAGGTATCGGGTTAGAGCATATGAAAGAAAATATATTGTTAGAGAATTTTTTTTCTTCATAATGAGTCTTACACAATACCAATTCACATTATCAGGCTGCAAATACGAATATCAAACATAATGTAAAAAATTTTAAAAATTACTCATTTTAATTTTCAAGTCAGGGTTAATAGAGTTGCAGTGGAAAAGATAGAATCTCGTTCATTTTAATTAGAGATTTTAAATTTAAGCTATGAAAAAATTATGTTGTTATAGAATACTTTCTTTTCAAATGGGCTTCAACGATACCTTTCCAAATTAATCGGATTCTAAATACGAATATCTGGTTATAACAAAGAAAATTGAATATTAAATTGAAAGAAATTTTAATTTCGTAATATTTAATAATTTCGATTTTCAAATTAAGGAATATGAGAGTTGTCGCCAAATTGATAGGATTATTTTGCCTTTAATAAGAGATTTTGAATTTAAATGTATGAAAAATATTTGTTATTAGAGAACACTTCCTTTTCAACTGAGTCTATACAATATCAATTCAAATTAATCAAATTCCAAACATGAATATATATATATATATATATATATATATATA